TATTTTCCATTAACCAGAGAGAAGTTCCTTCATTTTTCACACAACAGAGAAAATAAAAATATATAAATAAACCCCAAATGCCCTTCACAAGTTCCTCTACTGTCATCCACTATGAGGTCTCTGAGCAGCAGATCCACTCTTGCTTCCCTAGAGAGTCTATTTAGCAAGATCAATAAATTTGGGAACATAATATAGATTCCAATTTGCTTCTCAAAGTTTTCTACCCTCTATTAAATAGTCCCTTCCTCCAACTGGTTATGATTAAAGTCAGGGGGTTCCAAAACTAGGCATTAACAATGCTCTTTTAAGGCGGTTTGCCAAAAAAGAACCAAAGGTTTACTGGTGTTGCAATGATTGAGAGAGAATTTATTTTTATATACACATGGAACTAAAATAACACTTTGAGGCCAGTGAGTTTTCATTCTTTCTTTTTACTTTAACAATATCCTTATTGGATTATGCATAAACGTAGTCAACCAGATGGGGGCTTTCTTCAAATCCCAGGGCAATACATTTGATAAACTTCTCTAAGAAAATCAGGGAAAGCACATACTTTATCCAAATAAAATGAATAATCCTAATTGAGTTGACTATATCTAAGCTGCTTAGACTGTTCTAACTTTTAGTCATGCATTTTAAACATTAGAGAAGAAATGTACATGACACTGTACTCCCTGCTTCTTTCATTGGCCAAGACCATAACACACATCACCAGTAAGACATTTGCAGGTTGTGAGGATAAGTTTTCAGGGGCTATCTGTATTCTCTCACACATGACCAAGGAAAATAATTTAGGAGTTTAAGGTCTGGCATAAAAAGGCATAACAAATAAACATGGATTTAACATATGTGCTCATCAGCATACATTTTTGGTTAGATTTGAGTTGGCAAACTCTTATCTTTGAAATATCTTTGTAAATGGCCGCTAGAATCCAATGGATCACCCAAATAAGTACTTGAAGTAATAACTATTTTTCCCACTAATAGAGACTGACCATGTCTACTGCCCTTGCTGAATGTGTTGGTAAACCACTAGACAACGTTTGTATTTCTATAAATTTTTTTGTACAGATAGGGTCTTGCTTTGCTGCACAGGCTCGTCTTGAACTCCTGGCCTCAAACAATCCTGCCTTGGCATCCCAAAGTTCTGGGATTATAAGTGTGAGCCACCATGCCTAGCCCCAAGTATTTTTAAATGCTATAAAAACAGGTGTTCAAATCTGATTTTCCTTTCATTCTTCCTTTCTTAAATATCAAAACCCTCCAATAACTATAAAATTATTGCATTTAACCTAACCTGAACTTAATAAAGACAAAATAATTTAAAAATTCCATTCTGTTTTAACATGTTTATGTTCTATTTCTCCTTTTCAAATGATCCTTTTCTCGAAGAAATATAGTCAACATTATACTTCTGCTGGGGAAAATATAAGAATCCTTTAGTTTAAAAAGACTGAAGTTAAGTAGAGTGATTGTAAATTTCTCTTTTAAAAGTAATAAAAGATTCATAAGGGAAGAGGTTAAACATAGCTTTTTCCTTTAACTGAAAACTTTTTGCAGCATTAATTTCTGAATCTATGATTCTTTTTAGTTTTCATTTATTTCATTATTTTCATTTATTTATTTGTACCAACATCATCAAGAAATTTGAGAGCTTTTGATATAGTATTTTTATTCCTTACATTTAAAGTTTTTCTGTATCTTTAGTTTGCCTAACTTACTATCAAAAATATTTACCTGAAACTTAAAGTCTTTAATAAAGAAATAAAATTAAAAAGCCTACTAAATTTCTAGAAATGTCCACCAAAAGAAGACACCAAATTAATGAAGGAAATTAAACAGCTTCTCTCTGGGACAAACCATTGAGATTAATTTTTACCTGAAGTTCTCAGTTCTGAAAATGACATTCTGATTTACATTTATACTCACCAAACAAATTTGGAAAACAAAACTACCTCCCTGTTACTGTATATATTAGTTCCCATTCCCAAAACTGACTCAGGGTGTCCTGGATTCCTGTCTTCTAATGAAGACACTGACTTAAAATCTGTGGTCCAGGGAAACCCATCTTAAGAGGAGATAGACTCTACCCGAAGCAATTTAGAATATCACTATGCCAACAGAAAAACATTTTCAAAGGGAAAAATAAGTAATAGGCCTGGAAGGAAAATTTTTCCTAAGCAACTGTGATCTCCTTTCAAAAGGAAAATTTGCTTTTTAAGGAGAAATAACAAAATACATATGATTGCTCAAGGAGAAATGTGAATCTTGGTATTTCGTTCCATCATGCATTCGTAATGTATATCTAAATATGCTTCTATACTATTATAGAAGTTAGTTTTCCTGGAGTCTAGAGGATTCTCTCCCAAACTCTAAGTATAATCTAAAGATGGATGAAGCAGATCAATTTAGCCGTCCCTGAGAAAACAAATAGCAGGAACAATAGTACACTGATCCACATACCCCAGATTAAGTGTGTGTGCACTACACTTAAATGCACGCGGGTGATAAATCCATCCTGCTCATCTTAGGAACGTTAGCTGAGCAGATTTCATTTTCTTTAGAGTCTGGTTAATATCATAAATAATAAAATGCCAAGCGCTACATAAACAATCAGCCTTTGTGAATGTACAATGAGTCACACTTTACAGCTGGCTCACGTATATGGCAGGCAGCAAGTCAGGTATGTTGCCTTGGGGACAATTCAGAACACGCATTCCAGCATGGGAGGGAAAAAAGAATCTCATATTCTTCTTTTGAAGAATCCAGATCTATACTCTGGAGACAGCACAGCTTGTATTCCAGTGTTTTCCATTTATACTGAAATTCTAAGCTACAGGAAAATAACATGCAGATGTGCTATTTATGATTTGAGGAGGCTCATTTCATGCCAAAATCTATGGTCAGTGTAATGGTTATATTTTAAAAGCATAAGCATTATATTTTTATGAACTATCGTTTATTCATAACAATTAAAAATAAGTCATGGGGCAATAAATACCAGCACCTCCCAAGTATCCACTCTGTCACTCAAAATCAAAACACTAAATGCTTGCATCTTTGATACCTTTCGGCTAACACTCTGCCTCTCACCGGCATCCGAAGACCCCCCACAGCACGTGCACAAGTGTTCGGGGTGCAGATGGTGACCATGGGTGCCTGGAGATCTTGGAGGGCCTCCCACGTCATCCTTACAGGCACCCTTAATGAGCGACACTGTACAATTTTTGAATTTTACTGCTCATTGTGTTTGATGATTTGAAAAACAGTAAACTGTATTAAACTGAATATTTACTATCCAGAAGAAATTAATCAAACAGAACACAACAAATAGATGACTCCTGCTATGGAGATGTGTTTTCTTTTGGGAATTTAAAAATGCTCGTAAGTCATGAGCGAATCACTAGTGAAAGAGACAAATCATAAATGCTTCTTGAGTGGTCTAAGAGTTAGCACCTCCCCCAAATGTCAGCAGCTAGTTCCCTGGCCTTCAGCATGCACAGACTCTCTATTAGTGCACTCGTAATTAGCCCACAGTACTTTTTAAAGAATTTTTTTCTTCAAACAAGAAATGAAGCACATGAAATTCCAGACAGAGATTCAGTGTAATGCAAGGGACCAGGATTAGACAGACTTCCTACCCAGGAATTGAAATATATCATACGGTATAAGAACTAAAATATGAGTTTTTATATTTTGTCCAAATTTCTTTTCCAAGTGGTAATATTCATTATAAATACTATCCTTCACTTTGTAGAAGGAATCTTTAATCAGTTTCAAAAGTTACCTGCTGTTTTTTAAAAAAGTGCACCATAAGTGGGCTGAGTTCGCCTCTTTACTCCTTCACAAATGCTCATCTTGTGCTTTCCTGGTAATATTTTAACTTTATTAAATATTATTACTTGGGTCATAAGCAGTTGTATCAAGATATAAATTTATAAAGTGATACATTTTCAATACCAACCACCAATGTCAACTTATCCCCTAATAGCACATTCCATCAAATTAAACTGCAAAAGATTTCCCACATTTGTTTCACATTCTGTATGTATGGCTTATGAATAGCAATTCCGATGAATTCCAGCTGGTTTAAATATGCAGGCCAACTCTTCTATAACATTCTTTTCAATTCTTATTGTATTCAACGAGGCCCATTTTAAGTGGGCCACCTGGTAAGATGAAGCATTAATATATCTCCATAGGAAAAAAAATAAGAAAACAAATCACCCTGCTAAACTTAAGACCATCTTCCCAAACTACATTTTAATTATATTTCCAATTTAATTCAAAAGTAGTTCTAATCTTTGGGAAAAGTTGTATTAAAATTTAAACAAACCAGCAACTCTATGAACTACTAAATTGTTATAATAACAACATTAAAACAATTTCCACCGCTCATGTGTGCTTCACAAGTCAACCGTACACATTTTGGCCTCCCCCTGGGCTCCCCACACCCTCCCGCTTCCATCCAGGTGGAAGACATCAGGGTGCAGAAGCCAAGTGAAATGTTGACTCCACCCTCCTCCCTCCATTTCAAGACACCTTCAAAGCCAGCGCTCTGATCTCGTTCGGTTTCCTCAACCAAGCCAGCCACACTGCTATTTAAGACTCCCGTTTGGGGTTTTTATAACTGCACATGCACATAAGAGCTTTGATGGCTAGTCAAAAACTTCAGCTGCGCTGAGTTTCATCAGATTGCCGTACCCTTTCTGGGGAAGAGGCCTCCTTATTAAGTCTTCATAATCTCTGCTCTTGGCGCCCAGCTCTTTCTTTATAATATCAACCTCTCTGAAACTGCCCAATAACAGCCCATAATATGTTTCCCTTCCAAAAGGTCAAAACAGAGCAGCCCTTATGTTAGTGCAAACACCCCCCCACACACATGCACACCCCGTGCAATCTGTGCACTGTGACAGATGACGGTCATTCCAACATGCACAGCGACACTCTGTCAAGGCATGCAGGGGTGGAGGGGGGCTGCCGCAGGACAAAGAACTTACTTTGTTGTTCCCCTGTGCGTGTAGCCGCAAGAAAAAGAAAGAGAAATATGTTAAACATAAAATTATTTTAAAATGATGAAGTTTTTCTTGTGAGAGCAAAGTCAAAATAAATAATTTAACCATTCACTGACATCCCATACATACACATACAGCGTCCAGAGCTCATGGACAAGTCCAAAGATCCACTCAGGTTATATGAAATCATATGTTCAGAACAGCAGAAAATGATGACAGAGATTTCCTCTCTTTCTTTCTACTCAGGAGTACTTGGGGAATGGGAACCTGGCCAAAAAGAGTGGGTCTGAATTGGTAATGAGTGAACTGTTAGCATGAAAGGCAGAGCATTTAGTGTGTTGCCTGCTCTTTCCTGACAGCCCCTCCTCCCACATGCCAAGCAGTGGAAAATTTCATCAGCCAGTGCATTTTTAAACAAACACTGCATCCTTGGTTTCAAAGAAGGTGGAAAAAAGAAAAAAAAAAAGGAAAAGAGAGGAAAGGAGTGGGTGGTTCTGGGGAGACAGGGTAAGCAGACCAAGTTACGACCTCGATCTGTACCATTCCTTTATTTTGTAAATTATGAGTTTTGCCTAGGGTTGGCAGGGGGAGCGAAGACTGTATGGTGAGGATGCCGCCAAAATAAACACGGGTCCACATTCAAGAAATGGGTCTGGAAAGGTTAGTCGCAAAAATGTGGTCGTTTCCACAAGTGACACTCCGGGTCCAGACACAGAGCAGCCAGCGGCAGGCGGCAGGCAAATGGCTCTCTTGTTTCAAACCGGAGCTGCAAGAGCATGATTTATATCAAACAATTTAACTCACATATGGCCTAAAAAAATAAGACGGTGATTCATTACTCCCGGGCAGCCCGCGTGCTCACAAGGTCAGATGCAGTGGGGGCGACGTGCTGGGGACGGGGCCGGGACCAGAGAGGAGCTCTCCCCACAGGGGCCCAGAAGGAGCTCGCGGAGACGCAGGGCTGGAGAGGGCTGTGAGTGAAGCGTGTGCATCTGCGAGGAGACCTAGGGCAGGGCGGGGACGAGGCCAGGCCGCAGATCCGGCATTTAGTTTTAAGCAGAGGATGTGGAGGGGGATATACTATACCCAGAAACTTTCTGGAGAGCCGTAAGGCAATGATCCTAGGAGAGTGTGTCTTCTAGAAAATAATGCCAATTGGCGACTCTGGGGAAATGCCTAATCTAGGGACCATCACGGCCATCATATTTAATAAAGGAACCATACATTTAAAGGCACTGATAAAATGGTGTAGAGAAGTTTCCTGGCACTGTGACTGCCGTGATATAACTGTTAACGCACGGGCTTATCTAAGACATAAATAATGGTATAAGAATGAATGAAGGGGAAAAAGAGAGTCCTTTGTAAAGACTGCACCAACTGTTCAATAAGGCAATAAAGATCCCCACTGGGAATTTTATCAGGAGTAAAAGTCTATTATAGAGAATAATGGGATCCTGGTTCAACAAAGAAGGGCAAAATTGCTGAAAATACCTCGAACAGATGGAGTTTATTGCATTCCACAGCAGTGCAGCTTTTGATCTACCAAATAAGTTTCAGGAGTTCAACCAAGTATTTCTGCACGTTAGGGAATGACTGGCTTCCCCACTCGATGGCAGATGGCTCTGTTTGTAGTGGCAACAATGATGTCACAGAGTAGGAGGCCTTAATCCTTAAATACAAGAAATACACAAGCAGAGGACGTGGTGTGGCTTGGCCATTTCTTGTTTCATTCAATCATTTCCCAAGTGTCTCTTCTGAGAGCGGCATACAGTCATGAATGGTGAATATAAATGCTTTGTAATTCCCCTCACCGTGCCGTGTGGCAGCAATTTATGTCTAGGTCTCTGAAAGCACTTCCATTGAAGAAAAACCAAAGCTATTCAGAATTGGCCATTTAGCTGCTCTACATTCTGCAGAAAAACCTGAGAATAAAGTTATGTGTAGTGGGCTAAGCGTCAGGCATTTTAAGTCTTGTTTAATTGGGTTGTTGAATAAAAGCATACAAGTGGTCCTCATCACTTTAACAAATATTTATGGAGGTCCATGGCCATTCCTCTTCTCCCCCTAGAATGATACAGAGTCCCTTTCCTCTATTATTTGACACAGAGAAAAATTCACTTTTAGAGTCTACCCAAGAGGAATTTCTCAAGTAACAAAAGGATTTCACTGTAAGATGGTTTCAATCTGCAAAGCAGTCCTAAAAACATCAGTTTTTGCTGGGAGAGCCCTGAGTTCAGAAACAATAGTGAAGTTCCAGGGTGTTTCACTTTCTACTATCAGTTTGAATCTCTTAAGAAAAAATACACTATTGGCGAGGAATACACACACACACACACACACACACACACACACACACACATTAGCTATATATATTTCTATTATATATATTCTATATTCAATTTATGTATATATGTGTGTGTGTAGAGAGAGAGCTAATAGAAACCTCTTAAAAAGCTCTGAGGTGTTGGACTTAAATATGCAAAACTGAATTTGCACCCCATTAGTTTCCGGGCATGTGTGGATCTGCATGCAGGTTGCTGTTTCCAGCTGGGCAGCTGGCAGGCACCTGAGGGCGAGCCTGTGAGTTCTCACTTCCCAAGGCCCTCTCTGCTCACTCCTGACTGGCTGCCGGAGCTTAAGGCTGGCCTGTCCCCCCCAGGCCACATCAGGGCTTCTGTTAAACAACTCAGCTTCCTCAGCCAACAGATATCCCCAAAGCCCACTGCTAGTTTCCAAAGAAAGGAAAGTACTACTAAACTGGGAATTATAGCTTCGTGGGCACATTAATGACTTTGAATAATAAAAATGAAGGCTATAGGGCATTGCACACATTCACCTAGTTGAAGGCAGAGCCAGTTGTGATGCACAAGAATCTTCATTTAATCCTACAAAGTCACTCTGAGGAAGGTACTATTTTGAGTTTAGAGAATAAACAACTAGAGGTTGTTAAATAAGTTGCTTGAGCCACACAGTTAATGAATGGCAGGCTCAAGATTCGACTGTGAGAGGATTTGACTTAAAGTCTACCTCCTTCTACTGCACACATCATGTTTCAAAGAACTTGAATTTGGAATTCCTTAATGTTTACATATAATTTAAGTCATACTGTAAGCCTGCAAGACTACCAGAAAAGTTAACTGTTTGTTATCTCATGGTCCTTATACATTTAATCAAATTCACATTTATTTGTAATCATATTTACAGAAAAATTTATGTACAGGAGAAAGCAAAAGAATATTTTAAAAATCTTTCATTGTAGCCTCTAACCACTAATACACACACATTGTATCTCAGTCTCATCAGTGAAAATGACAATCCACTAGAAACATTTTTACTTTGAAACTATGTAAAAGTCTTGTACACTTATTTAACAATACAAAATTTTATAGTAATTATAATTTCAATTTTATAGTAATTGTAATTTTAATTTCAATTTAGAGCTAAAAGAAAAATAAAATTCTCCTAAATCCAAATTCAGATTTAAATATGTTTTTTAAATAACTGGCTGCTCCAAAATATCAGGTGACTGGCAGAAAGCTAAATCTGTGACACAGAGGAAGTTATGTGTGAGCTCAGAGAGTAAGTCAGTGGTCTGAACTCAGGACTCTGATTTCTATGTTAGGGCCACCCTTCTGCTCACATAAGAATTCTATGATTTGCTTTGGATCCAGAAAGCTCAAAGGAGTGAAAGTAATTAGAAATTGCACATGGGAAAATAGAAGGCGACTGGAAAACACACATGGGAAAAGGGTTGGGCTGTCGCATTTCATATGGATATCACTGTAGTTACCATATTGTAGAGGAATATTTATTTGCATCTCTTTCACTAGACTTGGAATTCCTAGTGAGTAGGAACTGCATTTTCTTTATCTTTGAGATCCTGGCGTCCATGTTAACGGTGACAGATGAAGGGAAAGTCTGAAGGGAGGAAAGGGAGTGGAAGGGATGAAACAGATTCTTCAGAAAACCTAAAGAGAAATGACTTGAAAGACAAAAGAAATGGGAACCTTTTCACGAGTGACATAAAAACATTCCATCACTTGCGTGTGATGGAAGAAAATGTGGTGCGAATATTATAAAAAAGTGTGCATATTAAAAAAATTTGTTCAAAACACCATTTCATTCAAATTTGGGTGATGGCTACTTCTCTAAATGATGTCAAACTTTTTCAATTTTAAAAAATGATCTATGTATAAATTTCTTTCCCATCAAAATGGAGGTATTTGTGCAGAAAGCAGAGCTTGGTGAGTTTAGACTCATATCCATCTACGACACATAAGTGTTTCGTTAGTAGGGTATCAGTTGTCGACTCAGTGGTTTATTGATACAAAAGCAAAATGACGTGCTATTCGGAAATCCTAAAAATTTACTTAGACAGAGGCATCTGTTATTAGGTTAACTGTTTTCATCAAATCTTTCTACATTAGGAAGAACTACCTGAAAGTAATTCTCTCCTCCCAAATATAAGTGAGAATATTCACAAAATGGAAACTTTAGATAAGCACTCTGCTTGATTGATTTCAGTAGTTCGCTGCCATTGAAGACATTAATTGCCTTGACTCTGAGGGTCAAGCAATCGTGTGATATGACCTGTAGGGTACATAGTGCATTAGAAATGCAAATACTGTTTATGATAAAAAACTAAGCAAAAGCAACATTCATGGTGCACTGCTAAGTTTAATTTCCTGTCTTGCTTTTGGCATATAGTAAAAACCCCTTTGTCTTGATCTTCCAAGCAACTGCACCAAACAGGTGTTTATAAACAAATAAAAATTATGTAAAAAGAATTAAAACACTATGTAGGATTATCTCTAGATTTCCTTGAGTATTCCAATTAAAAATAGAAAATATTTCTTTGACTGTCCTTTTGGTGTAGAGTTATAGACACATAAAAATCCAGACTTATAAAAACATATTAAGTTATAAACTTATAAAAACTTACTGGGGAATGAGTAATTTTGATTTTCCAAGACAGTTATTCCCTCACAAAAGACGCATTACATAATTTTTTTTTTAAATAGCAAACTTGACTGTTGCATTTAAATTAGGTTTAATTTATAAAATCTTGACTTAATAAAACATTTTCACAGATATTATATCTGCATTTATGGAAGATACATACACACACACTGATATTTTATATAACCAAGCATATTTAGAAGACAGAAAATAGCATAAAGTATTTACAATCTCACTGGGCTGTATTACAATATCCACAGTATTTTAACCCTCCCGTAGCTATTAAAGAAAATAGTTTGTGATGAAAATGATAGTAGTAATAATCCTATTAATTATTATCATAAATAAAAAGAGTGCTTACTTGTGCTTATTTGTGCCCACCCTGTTCAATGCCTTTCCTGCATTATCTCATTTAATCCTATCAATCACCCAATAAGGGACTAGTGTTATCTTCATTCTAGAAATGAGAATCTTAAAATGTAAAAAGGCCAGGTAACCTGCCCAAGACCTCACAGCTTATAAGAGAGCATCTGGAATTTAAATATAGGTAGTTTGACACTAGAGTCTGTGCTTGAATCCACATGTTCTACTACTTCTCATAATTCCTAGCCTTAGGGAGCTTTTACACAGGTAGATCTTATCATGCCACTAAGTGGCTTGAAACCCAGTAATGGCTTCCTATCTCACTCAGACTAAAATTCTAAAGGCTCTTCACTACTTCCTTCAAGGCTCTGCCCACCTTCTTTGTTAACCACCTACCACCTTTGTCCTCCCTCACGGTGTTCCAGACACACTGACCTTCTTGTTGGTCCTCTAAGACACTGAGCTTGGTTTTGCACTTGCAGTCCTCTGCCCAAACACTCTCCTCCAGCCTGCCATCTCATTTCCTCCCTCCTCTCCTGAGAAGCCTACTCGAATGTCAACTCTTCAGAGTCTCCCTTATCACCTTTACTAAAATAAAGCTCACCTGCACCTCACTCTTACTGTCCTCTTACCTTAGCTAATTTTTTTGTAGAGCCATCACCATCTTCAACACAGATAACTACAGAATAGTTGTTTATTCACTTGTTTAACGTCTGTTCTGTGGGGGCAGGACCTTACTGTGTCACCGGTACCTAGAACAGTGCCTGGCAAAAAGCACATGCTCACAAGTTTTTGTGGAATGAATGAATAAAAAATTAAGTATATGTGCATTTTAATATAGAGTAGTTGTGAAATTAAACACATTACCATTAATGGTAAGAGTAATAAATAATGATTCAAATTGAAAGCAAAAGCAAAGGTAGTGCTTGGGTTTTTATACTAATACATATGTAGTCTTCAGAGTGGTACATATCTGTGCAAATCTGTATGCACACGACAGAGGACAAACGGGACAGTTGTGAAAATCATACACCGATACTTCTGTACCTGGGTGTCAACAGGAAGGCATCTGATGTAACTTCCATTTGGAAGGCACGGGGCATGCTGGGGGAAATTCATTGTTTTAGATGCCAGCCAGACAGGTGTAAGAGGAAAGAGGTAAAGAGGTCTATGTATGAGTGAAAATAACAGCAAAGAGGCAAACATCTTGGCATGAATCTTCAATCCTTTACCCCTGGGACTGTTAAATTCCAGTGTAACCCCAGGGATGTGGTCAGGCCTGAAATCCCTTTGGAAATGCTTCAATTGGCCCACGTTGCACCCGTATCTCTGACTTTCTCTTAAAAAGACTTGATTGCTATTTTGAACCTACGAATGACCCAACATGTGCGTGATCAGTCCTATAAAGTGATCAAGAGCCAAGTAAGTACCACGAGAGTCAAGCTGGACTAACTCCCCAACACTCAGCCTTGGTGCTTTAGTTCTTGGGAGCAACCTGGGCCTTGTAAAGATTCGGAGAAGCGGCCAGTGCAGAGATCCGCTCGGCAGCAGCCCATCTCAGAGGATGTGCAAATGTTAAGTGAGACTTCTGTTTAAATTCAGACTAGTCTGTGCAATATTACACTTTCCAAAGGACGCAAGGGAAGGTCTGTTTATTAACTTGAATGAGAGAAGTGTCTCCAAGACACTTGAAGTATATTAATAAAGATAAGTGGGAATAACAATGTATTATATTTTTTTGTTCTTTCACAGTCATGATGATATTAATGGGAGTTTGTATGCAGGTAGAACTATGAACTTAATGAAAAGAGATTTTTATAAAAATAAGTATATTTTTAAGAACAGAAAATATTAGTGTTATGATTGATGATATATTGCTTGCATTAATACCACAACACATATGGCATAGCACATAGAAGAAAATAAAATTTTAAAATAAAATGAAAATCTTTCTTTTGGTCTGAGATTGCATACATTATGTTCTATGCCAAATTAGGGCATTTTCTTTGACAAATATGCTGATTAACTTCTTAACAGAGAAGTCAAATAGAAAAAATTTCTATGTGAAAAAACAAAGTAAAAAGAATAAGCAAAGTCTTACTTAAAAGTGCGTCAAATGAATTAAGTTAATAAGAAAACTAGTTTCTCCAGCATATAGTATATAGAATTAATAGATTTTCTTAAACATGGTTAATACTAATTTTTAAGTAAGAGATACAGCCAACTTACTGAAGATTTATCAGGATAGACTCCAGCTCTTAGCAGAGATGCCTTCCAGCTGTCTACATCCTCCTGTGAATCACAGGCCAGCTCAAGGAAGCGATAGTCTTTGTATACATTCCTGCAGTTAAAACAAAAATCATGCTTTCAGTTTTGAATCAAATCTGAAATGATTTTATGTTACTGCAGACAATGATGATTTAAATGACAATCCAAATGGATAGTTCTCTGACAGTCACTGGAGGAAAACAAAATAACTTAAATAAAATTAACAAGTTCCTATATGTATTTATAACAATTTTTTTATAAAAGAAAAGAATTCACACAAAAGAACTTGAAACTGTCTATACTGCTAAGCAATTAAAAAAGGAAATACAAATGTACTTAATATGACACAATGGGTACCATACAATGAGAAGTTGTGCTGTGGAAAAGGAATTTGCAATTGCCCAGTAATTAGACCAATTTTCAGAAGCTATTTTGCAAGCTTCAATAATGACTAAATAGCTTGTAAAACTTTTAAGATGTATGGCAATAATCTTACCAACCTAAAAGACTATGCCACAATCAAAACAGAAATGCTCATCAAATGTGAAAAGGCAAGACTGATAACCAATGTTTCATACCATGAGATGACTGTGAAGTGCATGTTTATAAATGGGAGAATACTATAATTTTATTTTTTTCTGGTAATAAAATAATACAAAAAACATGTAATTCATGCATATTTTTGAGAAATTTTGAAAGTAAATGAAAGTATAAAAATGGTAACAATCATCCAGATTCCACTGCTTAGAAAGAACCTTATTTTCTTATATGCTTGTTCTATGCAATTTCCAGACTTTGAGGTTCTACCTCCCTCCCTCCTTTCCTCTCTAGCTCTCTATTAATTTTGTGTTCTGCTTTTTCACCTACTGTTATATCGTGGCCATTTAATTATGCCACCAAAGCTTTATAAAGATCAAATTATAATGGCATAATATTCATTAATATAAATGTATGATAATTTACTTAACCTCTTCCTAATATTAGATAATTAAATCATTTCCTTTTGGGTTTTGCTATCATAAATAAAGCTTAAATGAATATTTTTATCTATGAGTATTTGTCACATTTACTACTATTATTTTCTGAAGATAGAGTCCAATAAATAGAGTTACTGGATCAAAAGCTATGATCATTTTTACATACTCCCAATTACCTTTCCAGAAAAGATAGTCTAATTTAGACAGAAACTAGCAATATACGAGATTAACTTCTTTCCTTAGTTTCTCCCAAGGTGTGCTCACGCATGCCCTAGAGTCTTGATTTCCACTATATCAGATGGCTCACATGTTTACATCTCCTGTCTAGACCTGCCCCAAAGTTCTACTGTCCATTGAACTTCTCTTCTTGAATACTGAAACCAACCTTGACACGAACAACTGAACTGGGGATTTCCAACTTGGTCTTCTTGCAATGTTCTCATTTCATGCAGCAACCAAATATTTTGAGGATATTTTTAACACCTTCCAATCTCTCACCACCGCTCTTCCATTTTACTATCTAAAAGTGTCCTCCTCTTTTTTTTCTTTTGAGACGGATTCTCACTCTGTCGCCCCAGCTAGAGTGCAGTGGTATCATCCTTGCTCACTGCAACCTCAAACTCCTGGCTCAAGCAATCCTCCTGTCTCAGCCTTCTGAGCAGCTGGGACTGCAGGTGAACGCTCACCACCCCTAGCTAAATTTTTCTATTTTCAGTAGAGATGGAGTCTCTCTTTTGCTCAGGCTGGTCTAGAACTCCTGAGCTCAAGCAATCCTCCCGCCTTGGCCTCCCAGAGTGCTAGGATTACAGGTATGCCATGTGTCCTTCTCTTTAAATGGGTCTTATGATCATCATCTCCCTCTGGGACAATTACCAGCCTCTTCACTGGTTTCCTGGTAACCCATGGCCCTTTGAAATTTGTTCTCTGCACCGAATCCTCACGATCTTCTGAAGTAGGATGCTCCACTGGCTACCTGCTTTTTGGAAAAGGCAATACTTCCTAAGACACCCCACAAAGCCCCGAAAGTCTGGCCAGTCATTACCTTCCTCTATGGCTTCTTTGCACACATTGCTCTTTCTGCTCCAGCCAAACTGCTTTCTTTTGTTCCTCAAATGTACCAAATATGCCATGCTTACTCCCAGTGCCTTTGAATATGCTGCTGTCTGCCTGGAGCTCTCTTGCCACCTCTCTTTTACACAGTTAACCCCTACTTTTTGTGGGGATCTCAACTCAGACATGGCTTCCTCACACATCACTTCTCTGATATTCCTACCCAGTCAGCTCCTTTTTCACACATTTTTTCACATTTCTATTTATGTTTTCTTCACAGTACTTATCACATATGTGGTTTCAAAATTATATGTTTCTTTTCCTTTTCCCTTATTCCTTCCTTCCTTCCTCCCTCCCTCTCTCTTTTTTCTTTCTCTCTCTCTCTTATTTATTTTGATTAATGTCTATCTTCCAAACTAGCCCATAAACTCCATGAAGACAGAACATGCATCATTTTTATGTTCACCATTAACCATTACATCCCCAGGGGATTCTAGGAAGATGATGGCTTAACTATCCTCCATTTCCTCTCCTCTTCCCACTCAGGTCAAACACATCCTCTTTTCTAGAGTCAAGCAGATATTAAGGCTGGTACTTAGGTAGGTGTGAGCAAGAGAGCTCACAGCTGTTGTATACTTTCTTGCTCTGGGCTGGACAAGAGCTTTGTGACCATAGCAAGTGAGCTCTAGGATAAGAACCAGCATAGAGCAGACCCTTGGTAGAGCTGTCCCTCAACGATCACAGGATCTTATAGTGTGCCCGGTCCTCTGGCCCTAGAGAAGTATTGTTGAGTTTTCTCTATCCTAATGCAGAAGAAAGGCCTACCTGTGGAGGTAACTGGCAACTTCCCTATTACTGACTCGTGATGACTGAGATGAATGTGTCTTCCCATGCTTAGGAGACCAGTCCACTCAAAGCACCCAGCAGCTGGACCTGGGCCACAATGAACAAATGAAAATGAAAGGACACCTAAGGAGGTCTAATAGGCAGAGAGAAAAAGAATGAAGAAAGCAATCACGACAGTCCATCAATGAAGCAGAAACTTTTGGGGGAAGCAGAAGATAGAAGAATAAAAAATACTTGAAAAGGTATGCATACAGCATTAAGAAAGATTTCCTGCAACTATTATAAAAAGTATGATTTTTAAATTAAAATACTGAATAGATAAGTCAAAGGAAAGGATCAAAATTCATAATAGAATTGGTAGCTTTGAAGATTTAACAGAAGTGGAAAATATAAAGAGAGAGAAATTATGAGAGTGTGGAATAAAGACCCAGCACATCTAGCCCATAAATAGTAATAGGAATTCCAGAAAAAGAAAAGGCAGATGAGAGGAGAAAAACAATGATAAAAGAGAAACTTTCTGGGTATGATGGCTCATACCTATAATCCCAGCACTTTGGGAGGTTGAGGTGGGGGTTCAAGACCAGCCTGGGCAACAGTGAGACCTTGTTTTTATAAAAAATAAAAAAATTATTCATGCACAGTAGCATGTGCCTGTAGTCCCAGCTACTTGGGAGGTTGAGGTAGAAGGAGACTGTTTGAGTCTAGGAGTGTCAGGCTGCAGTGAGCTATGGTTGTGCTACTGCACTCTAGCCTGGACAATAGAGTGAGACACTGTCTCTAAAAAAGGAGAGAGAGAAAGAGAAACTATTTTTTTAAAGAAATTTCTTTCTCTGTATTTTAGAAGTGTATATCAAAAGCACAATTTCAAGTGGATTAATGAGAAAAGTACCACTTAGGCATTCGCTAATATAATTCCTGAGCTCTGAGATAAAGAAAATATTTTAAGGTTTTCTGTAAAGAAACAGCAAGTTGTTTATAAAGGAAAAAGCATTAGACTGGTACTGAACATTCAAAAAGTATAAGGCAAAGAAATATTAATAATATCCATGGACTCTTGAGAGGACTGTAGAATTGGAGTCCTATACCCAGCCAGGATATCATGCACATACCAAAGGAGGAAATAGTAAAGGAGGGTGAGGGTTAAAAAAAACACCAGATGAACCTGCAGAGAATGAGAGCATTCAAGATGAGGAAAGATAAGACGAGAGAAAATGTGATGAGCAATGAAACCTGCAATATCCATAACTAGTTAAATCAAAATAAGAAATGACAGACATGTATAGAATGTGCAATATCATGCTAAACATAGACTCTTAAAGTAGAAGAGACATATGCATAGAAATTATAAACAGTCTAAAAGTTGGCGAGGTAAGAGGAAGTAAAAATGATCCCAGGTCTCCTATGGTGGCTGGGTGTAGAGTGGGGAAGTGAAAGGATCTCAGAGGTTTCAAATTGTTGGGAGAAGTGGGTAAGAGGAGAAGAAATCTCTCTTTATGGGAGAATAATTGATAATTTTGCCTCATGAAAATAATAGGCTATGTATTGATGATAAATGTAAATTAATGAAATAAAAGTACAGTTGAACTCCCAATTTAAAAAAGAGAAAAGGAATTAGTCATCTATTGATCAAATCAACAACAAGAAGAAGGAGGAGGAGGAGGAGGAGGAGGAGGAAGAAGGAGGAAGAAGAAGGAAAGAAGAAGAAGAAGAGCAGGAAAAGAACAAACAAGAAGTAAAAAGACCTGGGGGGGGGTTGTTTGAGAATGCAGATCCAGATCAACACCCAGGTGGCTAATCCACCAAGCTTGTTCCTGGTTCCAGGTTGGTTCAGAGATGGGCAAGTCCTCAAGGGATTTGGCTGCAGCCTCACTTGGCCTTGAGTCTGCAACCAAAACCATCTGCCAAGGGGTCTGGAAATAATCCCACACACTAGTGCCAGGACAGAAAGGCACCTCTGCCTGCTGGCATCATCTTGGCCATGAACCTGAAAGTTGCCCTATGGCTCTGCTCCAACCCCACCCCAACCCCAGCTAAAAAACAGAAAGGTATACTTGGATGAGTTGATTTGCTTACATTGTACTCCGAGGTCTTGCAAAGTGACTAGCACTAGTAGATAGTCATTAAATACTTATTGAATAACAAATCTCATACTCATAAATATTGAATGTCATCTTTAAAATACCTTTGCTGCTATTTTGAA